TCCTGCCCTTCCCCTCCCCTCTTCTCCCCCCCCCCTCCTCAAGATGAGATTGCTGGGCTGGCATACCACAGGTGATGCCTCCATTGTCATTTCTTACTGGTTGGTTGTAGGGTAGGATCTCACTGTGTGTAGGTGTGCACCTCAGTCACAGTCTGCCTACTCTAGTCTTCCCATCATCTCTGGGATCCTAGGTGTGTCACTGTATTCAGCTCTCCCTCATGGAGATGGAGTCTCACAGACTTTTCTCATTGGGCTGCCCGACACCAAGAGCCTTCTAACCTCAGCCTCCCACAGAGCTTGGGGTGAGGGGGCACATCATGGTCCCCAGCCATGGATTGAGAAATGGTCTTGGGACTTTTCTGTCTAGGCTGGCTTTGAACCACTATCCTCCTAGCTTCTACCTTCCAAGTAGCTAGGATTGAAGGAGTGAGCCACCAGTGCTTGGCTTGGAGATATCTTTTGCCACCATGGGGACTTTGTGCTTGGCTTGGAGATATCTTCTGCCACCACGGGGACTTTGTGCTGCTACAGTCCATGGCCACATCGCTGCCTGTCTCTGTCTGGCTTAAGGATACAGTAGGAAGAGTGTGGATATGCTTCCATATTCTGGTTGCTGGATAGAATCATATGAGCTAGTTTGGGTCTGTCATGTCAGGTGCCCAGGATGCACAGCGCTATCATCATGTCAGGTGTCAGGGATCCACAGCTCCATCATCACGTCAGGTGCTCAGGATGTACAGCTCCATCATCACGTCAGGTGCTCAGGATGCACAGCTCCATCCTCACGTCAGGTGCTCAGGATGCCCAGCTCCGTCATCACATCAGGTATCTGGAATGTACAGCTCTATCATCATGTCAGGTGCTCGGGATGCACTGCTCTATCATGTCAGGTGCCTGGGATGCACAGCTCCATCATATCGGGTGTCCTGGATGCCTAGCTCTATGTCAGGTGTCCAGGATGCACAGCTCTACCATCACAGCAGCTGCCTCTGATGCACAGCTCTCATCGTCACTTCAAGTGTCTCAGATACATGCCTCCATCGTCATGTCAGGTGTCCAGGATGCATGGCTCCATTGTCACATTGGGTGTCCCGGATGCATGGCTCCACCATTGCTTCAGGTGCCCTAGGTACACAGCTCCATCATGCCAGGTGTCCCCAATGTGTGGCTCCATCATCACTGGGTGTCCTGGATGCACGGCTCCATTGTCATGTTGGGTATCCCAGAGGTTTGGCTCTGATGGTCCTCGGCACCCCTTGCTCCTGGGCGTGTCTTCCCCACAGGTAGATGAGTGCCACTCTGTGCTGCTGGAGCTGACCTTGTCTGGGCTGTGGGACCGCTTCCCACAGTCTTCAAGATGGTCTGGCTCCTTCAGTGTCTGGATCTGAAGAAGCTCCGGTGTAAACTCTTCTCACCCCGCATTCCCCAATGAAGATGTGGATCCTAAGTGGCTGCTGGCTCCTGACTCCTCAGTCCACAAGGTCGTTTGTGAGCAGGAGGCAGGCAGGCTACCATCAGGCAATGAGAGACCCTCTCTCACTGTGTTGGCAGTGGCGATGCGTGGGTGCTGTGGGAGTCAGAAGCGGGCCCTTCCCTGCGAGTGGCTCTGCTTGCCAGGTAGCACTGGCAGGACACCCACTCTCCTCTGGCATGGACCTCAACAGCTTGCCCTGTGGGGCCTACTTTGTGCTGGTGCTCGGTTTGATTCACTGTTCCCAGGAGGCCTCTCTCCATGGTCATTAGCATCCCTGACCTCCGGTAGCTGTGGTTGGAAAGTCAGTGGTCATCCCAGGGCAAGGCCCTCTGCTGGCCCTGACAGAGCTGACGTGGGCGGGCAGCAGGTCCTGGTGCCTCCAGGAGCTCATGGTGTTGAGGCAGGAGGGAGGGCCTACAGAGGCTCTGTGTCTTGCCTTGCTCCTGTGAAATCCACCTACTGTCTCTGAGGTTTATCTTTGTAGTCTTAGGGTCTGCCACTGGGCAAGAGGCAAGGGAGAGAGGCCAGCCCTCCTCCACAGGGCACTTCAGACCACCTTGCCCGTTGCTGCTTCTCCCAGTGTGGCCACATGAGGGGGCCCGTGGGCTGCAGTAGACTGAGATGCGCCTCCTCACCCCTTGCAGGGCTGTCTTGTGCTTAGTGGTTGACGGCATCTCTGGGACGGGTGCGCAGGAATCGGCTGGTGAAGGTCGGAAACTCCTGCCTGGACTTGCTTCGTTTCTTCTCTCAAGTGATGTGATGGATAGCCACCACAGCACCACCAATGCTGAGCATTGTTCCCTGCGCTTCTTGGCCCGTCTTCTTTGGAGGCATCTCTGTCTGGTACCTGGTCCATTTTAATTTTTCTGACAGTCCTGGAGGTTGAACCCAGGGCTTTATGCTTGCCAGGCAGGCAGGCACTCTACCACTGAGCCACAGTCCCAGCCCTCAGCTTTCTAAATGGTTATTTTTCAAACAGCCTCACATTTCCTTCCCAGGCTGTCCTAGACTGTGGTCCTCCTACTTTGTGCCTCCTGGGTAGCGGGTGTGCCACCAGACCCTGCTATTTTTGGAAGTTTGTGTCCTGCAGTCTGATCTCTGCCCCTAAAAGCAGTCACAGTTACAAACGTGAGCTACTCTGCCTAACTAGCCATTTGTCTTTGTGCTGTTGCAGGTCATGCCAATGGAGTATTACTTCCTCACCCCCTAGAAATCTAAGTGACATTTAAATCGTCTTTATTCTTTCAAGCTTTTCTCAGCTTTTCTGTCTCTAGGAAGTAAAGTTAGATTGTAGAGTCAGCCTTCCGGTGTTAGTTCTTCCAGCCTGCTCTCAGCCTCTAGGTATAGACGGGCCCAGGAGGCACCCTCCGTCCAGGCCCTCGCTCCCACTTCTGGGTCCCTGGACACAAGTGCTAGCATTCAGATGGCACATGGGTCTGTTGGCTTCAGCCTACCTCATCCAGAGGCAGAAATTCAGCCATCAATTTGCTTGGCCTCTGAAAGCCTGCAGTTAGCTCTCCCTGCAGGCTAGGAGTGAAGGAGAGGTGATGGAGTGGTGGGATGGAGGCCGCAGTGAGTGAGCTCTTCTGCCTTTGACACCCCTGCCCTGGCTCACTCACCTGGGAGAAGCCCTGAACTCACCCTGCCAGCCACAGCAAGGATGAACCGGGGTTGGGAATGGCAGCACTGGGCATGTGGACACACAGCAGACAGGCTGGCCAAGCCCACACAGATGGGAACTGAGAGCTCGAGGGCCTGGCCTGTGTTTGGCCCTCACAGGGCTTCAGCGTCTGGCCGGACTTGCCCTGTCTTAGCTTTACCTTCGAATTGGCAAGCTGCCTGGGCGCCTGCACTCTGCCCAGGTGGAGGCAGGAACTCCAGGAAGGCAGGTCTTTGCCTTGGAATTACTCTGGGGCTAGGCTGTGGGGAGGTGGGTGGCAACCCGGAGCTTGAGAAATAAGGTAGGTAGCAGACCTCATGCTGGATGGTGTGTGAGGCACAAAAAATGCCACCTGGCAGATAATGTGGAGGGTGTGTTCTTGCTGTGATTCTTCAAGCTCGATCTTATTTCTTTTATAATAGTAGATGGACTTCATCATACATTTCTGGGTAGCATCAGCTTCTGTTCCTGTGTTAATTCTGAGTACCTGAAGTTAGGACCCCTGCCCACCACATTTGGCAGAGAGAGATTCACGGGGATTTACTTGTACTGTTTGGATGCAGAGGGGTCACTCCTGGGACAGGCTGAACTCTGAAAAACCCAGAGCTGCAGTTCTATTGCAGTCAGAACCTGAAAGAACACCTACTTTTCACACCATTACATGGTAGATGCTTTGTTAAAAATGCACTCAGAGTTGGAATGTGAGAGAGCTTGTAGGTGGTCGAAAGTTTGCCTAACATGTATGAAGACCTAGATTCAACCCCCAGTTGAGAGCCCAGTCCCAAAAATATCCCCACAAAACAATTCAGGCTTGGGAGAGTCCAGAAGGAACCCAGGGGTCCAGTCTACCCCCACACCCCGTCCACCTGCACCTGCAGAGCTCTGCAGCTCTGAGCTTGATCCCTCAAAGCCGGTCTGTCTGGCTCCCTGCAGGCTTTTTGCTACTCCTGGGGGTTCTTGGGGCTGCCTCTGCACACTCTAAACTCTCCCTCGAGTGTTCATCGCCAGGGCAGGATAATCCACTCACTGGTGTTAGTGGTTTCTGTGCAAGCCATGTGGGGAAAGACCCCACTCTGGCAGCTGTGCAGTGATAGCAACTGTTCAGGGATGGAGCCTTCCCACAGACCCATGCTTGTCACGGCGGTCAGCAGGATCGCCCCAGGAGGTGGGAGCTGCTATTATTGCGTGTGAGCCACACCCAAGGCACGAGGTTAACTCAGATTCACGAGCTCTAACCAGGGGCCCTCCAGAGGCTCCCAATCAGTCTTCTTCGCACTATAGCGTTTCCCAGAACTACTAAAATGAAGGGTAAAGAATTCCAGCACCTTTCTATAGTAGGTCCTTCATCAGGCTGGGGTGGTAGCACATACCCTTAATCCCGTAGCATGCAAGAAGCAGAGGCAGGAGGATCAAGTGTTCAAGGCCAGCCTGGGTTACATAGACTCCAACCAAAATGATTACTTAATGCCTTGATCAGAACACACTCAGCTTGCATCTCACTACACTGACTCTCACATCCTGCCACAACCTTGACCTCGTGTCCTCACGCTGACCATGGCCTTGTGTCCTCACGCTGACTACGACCTTGACCTCATGTCCTCCTCACACTGGCCACGACCACAACCTCTCCTTATGCTGCCTGCACCGCTGTCTGTCAAGTTTCCTCACACTAAGCTCAACCTGTTCCTGGTTCCGATCTCTCCCTCTACTCAGCCCACCTTGCTGGTGAACCCAGGCTGACCTCACCCATACTGGTCTCTTGCTGCCCCTCTGCACACACCAACTTGGCATCCGCATCTCAGCCGTGTGTGCGGCTGCGTGCGCCCAGCCTGCCTGCCTAGCTGAGATGACTCTCTCTCTCCCCAGACCTCGACCCTCACCATTTCTGGCGCTGGAGCAGCTTTGCAGACTATGTGCAATGTGTGCTGGCCTTCGCGGGTGTGGCCGGCTACATCACCTACCTGTCCATTGACTCCGCCCTGTTTGTGGAGACGCTGGGCTTCTTTGCTGTGCTGACCGAAGCGATGCTGGGCGTGCCGCAGCTGTACCGGAACCACTGCCACCGCTCCACAGAAGGCATGAGGTAGGTGTCCCAGATCGGTGGAGTCCTTGCTCTGCTCTGAGCAGTATGAGGCTGGGGCTCTGTGCTGGTCTTCCTTGGGCACCTAAAATGGCATGCTGGGGTTGATTGAGACAGTTTTTCCACAGGTTGTATGTGTGTACATACATATGCACACACACATGCATGAATGTATGTATGCATGTACGTACACATGCATGCACCCACCCACCAGTACTGGACTTAAACACAAGGCTTCTCACTGTCATTCAGCCTTTTTACTCTTGCACAGCCTTTGCTCATGGCTGGTGCTCTACCACTTGAGCCACACTTCATTTTTTCCCCCAGGCTCTGCCAGGAAAGAAGGCATGAGCCAAGGGGTGACACATTGGGGTGGGGGGTGGCAGTTGAGCATGCAGACCATCCCAGGGTCCCCCTGCTGGAGGCTGGCACACACCCTTCCCTGCAGCTAACTGGCTCGCGGGCCCTGCAAGTAGATTTGTGTGAGAAAAGTCGTGCCTGTGTTGGCTGCACCTGGCCAAGTGCAGAGGAGGAATGATACCCAGACATGCTCAAAGGAAAAGCTCCCATCTGTTTCTGCTCATGGAAATTTCCTTCCCTCTTAGCTGGGAGGAGGCCCGAGGCAGCAGCTTCCCACTGTGTGGGACACCTTGGCCTCTCTGTTGGTTTGCATCCTCAGCATCTGGTGAGGTACCGTTAGCCTTGGGGGAGAGGCTGTCTGACAGTGAGGCTCTGGTGTCCTTGAAGCCAGGCTGTTTAAGCTGTGCTGTGGTTCTCGTGGGGTTGGAGACCCGAGGCCCTGTGCTCTCTCCTCTCTGAGCCAGTGGCTTACGTAGGTAGCACAAGTCTGAGTCAGATTGTGCTTCATCCTCCCCTTCCTGGTTCACCCTGGCCCCCTGGGTGAGTGCTGACCTCCTTGTTTTCTCACAGCCTCAAGATGGTGCTCATGTGGACGAGTGGTGATACCTTCAAAACAGCCTACTTTCTGCTCAACGGCGCGCCCCTGCAGTTCTCTGTCTGTGGGCTGCTGCAGGTGCTGGTGGACCTGGCCATCCTGGGCCAAGCCTACGCCTTTGCCCGGCACCCTCAGAAGCCGGTGCCCCATGCAGTGCATCCCGTCAGCGCCAAGGCCTTGTGAGCTGTCCAGGGGAGACAGGGACATGTCACCCTGGCTTGGTGCTGGCCAGCCGCCTGTGTTCCCAGGCCTGCCTCGCAGGCCGGCGCTGTGGGCAGCACAGAGGGGGTGGGCCGACAGAGACCAGGTTCTGGTTTCTCCGCCAGTGTCGGCCTGGGGCGCTGGGTGCCCAGGGCCAGGGCTGCTGTTCCTTCACGTTCAGCTGTCACCAGGATGGTGAGAGCACATCTCAAAGCCGAGGCTGGCCGGCGTGTTTCTAAGCTGATGGAAATGGCAATCCTCGTCCTCTCAGAAAATACTGGCCCAGCCCTGAACCAGGCTCTTGGTCCCCTGGAAGGGCTACAGGCTCCGTGATCTTCTCTACCCAGGCCCATCATCCAGTCTCCCCAGGCAGGCAAGAAGACCTTGCCTGGTGGCCTGTGGCTCCTTGGACAGAGCAGGTCTCGGCTGCTGGAGGCCAGTATTCCACAGCTGTCGGCTGTGTCTGGGGTGGCGGGAGCCGCTGGCTTGAAATCTGTTACTGTGTTCTCTTTCTCTGTTTGCCATGAGGCTGCATGGCAGCTCCTAGACCAGAATATTCTAGATGCCTCCCACAGCGGCATTTTCCCTCTGCTGGGTGGAAGGGGTTGCTTCTGTGTGCATGCTGTGGCTGTCTGGTCAGCACAGACTCCCTGACAGCTAATGGGGCTTGGCTGCGGCTAGTGGAGTCAGTGCTGCTCCACCTCAGCTTTCCTTCAGAGACTCTTGAGCGTTCAGAGACTCCTGCTTAGCTCTTTAGCCTCTGAGATGCTTTGAAGATGTCTATTTTTTTTAAATGAAGGGATATGTCTGTAGAGGTAATTGCTTCACAATTAAAATGTCACCAGCTGCACGCTTGGTGGCTGCTGAGTGAATGTACCCTGGAGCAACCGAGTCCATGACTGTGGATCTGTGTGGGGGGTGAGAGGAGTCAGCACATGGAGGAGTGGGCTGGGCCTCAGGTACGGGCTTGGGGTAGCGGGAAGGAAGAGTGGTACAAGTTTGGGGGAAGGAGGAGTGGTACAAGTTTGGGGGACGGTGGGGGGGAGGGCACAGGCTTGGGGAGAGACAAGATGCTGGTGGCATAAGCATAGGGCAGGGTGGGTGGTATAGGTTTGGAGGAGTGGGGTCTGGGGTACGTGGGTTTGGGCTGAATGCCAAGGGGCACCGGGGACTGGGCACAGGTCTAGGTACAGACCCTCCTCAAGGCTGACATGTTCTAGGACCATTTCTATTTTGGAAATCACTGGCTAGCTGGGGCACAGCCAGCAGGGCCCCCCTGGACACACTGACAGTGGGCCACACTGCCCGCCGTCCTCAGCTATCTGTGCTGGGATGGGAACAGACTCAGCCGAGCTTCCCTGCTGGCCTGTGGATTTCCGTCACTTCGCACGCCAGGGGCACAAGGCGGCCCCACTGTGTGCGGGTCTTTTCATGTGGAGCCAGTCTACGCTGGAGGTTGGTGAGCGTGCGGGAAGATTGTGACCCTGGAAACCAGATGGGGAGCTGAGGCCGCGGCACAGGGTGCGTCCAGGCCCACCTGTGTCCTCTGGAAGCTGGCAGCAGGGCAGACTGATCTTGAAGATGGGACCAGCCACACAGCAGCGTCCTCCCATCCCCTCTTCCCAGCAGCCTTGCTGACGGCCCCTCCATCCTGTGACCGGGATGGTTTCCAGGGTCAGCAACCTGGGTTTATTCCTGGGGTCTTCATGAAGGTGAGGACCTACCAGGAGGGGTACACAGCAGGGGGAAGCACCTTGAATGTGGGCCCGTCCTGCAAATCACAGGGCTGCCCTCCCATGGGTCTTAGCCACTGCTGGGGCCTGAGGCCCTAGCGGCCCCTGGAGGGCAGCCCAGTCCCACACACGTACATGTGTATGTGGAGATGCGTGTTCTTGGTGTGTTCATGTCCCATCCCTACAAGGGGAAGGTGCAGGGGCCGAGCACTGCCACTCAGGGGCATGTCCTGGATCTTCGTTAGATTCCTCTGCCCTCACCCCTTGGTGTCCCTCACAGACTGCTGGCCCTGGCCCGGGAGACATGGGTGGGATCCGTGGGAAAGAGAGCCCTCTTCAAGGGCAGAGTACAGGCACCAGGGGCCTAACAGACCCTCCCCTAGACCCCAGTCTAAGCTGTCCAGGGGCAGGGGTCGGGCCTGGCTGGGCTATTTTTTGTCCCAAGGACCTTATGCAAAGATCTGAGAGAAGGTGGTGTGTGCGGAAACAGACTGTCATGAGAGGCTCTCCTGTGCTGTTTTCTGGCTGGCTCCTCGTCTGCTGTGGCAGAAAGGCAGTCTGGCCACGGTCTGTCCCTGCACCCCTAGGCCCTCCTCTTGGAGACGCAATGGGGAGCCAGTTTGTCTGTGTGCCAACGTGTGCTGGAGGCAATGCAGACATGATAGAGAAGCAGAACCCAGTGTGCTATGGCCCTCAGCCCACCAAAGCAGGGTCCAGGCCAGCTGAGCCGGGCTTGGTGTGGACGCCTGGTGGTCCAGAGGTCTGGAGTATTCCAGTTGTTCCTGTTGACCCCCCTCTCCCCTCCCGCCCGCCCCCAGGACCCCGGTGTCCGCTGTGTCGGCTCAGGGCCTGCGTCAACTCAGGCCCACGTCAGCTCGGCCTGGCCCGCGTCAGCTCAGGCCTGAGTCAGCTCAGAGCCCACATCAGCTAGGCCCACATTGGCTCAGGACCTGCCCGCATCGGCTCAGAGCCCTCATCGGCCCAGCCCCGCGTCGCCTCAGGCCCTGCCCGTGTCACTCAGAGCCTGCATCAGCTCGGCCCACATTGGCTCAGGCCCCTGGTCGGCTCAGGCCCCGGGTCGCCTCAGGCCCCTGGTCGGAGTCGGGCTGGTCGGCTCAGGCCCCGGGTCGGCTCAGGCCCGCATCGGCTCAGGCCCCGGTCGGCTCAGGCCCTCCCTGCGTCACCTCAGGCCCCGCGTCACCTCAGGCCCCGCGTCACCTCAGGCCCCGCGTCCAC